ACTGATTTGAAGATATCCAGACTGATTTGAAGATATCCAGACTGATTTGAAGATATCCAGACTGATTTGAAGATATCCAGACTGATTTGAAGATATCCATACTGATTTGAAAACTTTATTATTTTTTTTTTCAAACTGGTTTGACTTTGAAGTGACGTAACACATTATCATTTTATTTTATTTAAACAACTCATTCATATTTTTTTGTAGCCCGAGATATGTACATTTTGGAACTGTAACACTTTTCTTTGTAGCATTAAGCTTTAAGAAATATTTACAAAATTCTCAGTGATTTTTGAATTACAGTGTGGAGGGATACTTGAAATTACGGCTGCAGTACTTCAAAAATTCAAATTTATTTGTTCTTGTAGAGAGTTCCAACGGTTAGATGAGAAGGTAGTTGCTAATAAATGGTTCCTTCCTCTGGTTTGGTGTGCCAAAATAATCGGAGAGGGAGTAGAAAATGGAAACCTTAATGTAAGTCCGGATTACAGTAAGTCATAAGTACAAAAATACTGGATCGATTTTGGAATCAAGCTTAAAGCCCTAATGACATAACTGCCAAAGACTGTTCAAAGAACTTCGCAAAAAAATCATGTCAAAAACGGTAAACAGTGAGCTCTTATAAGGGAAAAAAAATTTTAAAACTCACTAATGAACCGAATAATATCTTCCAAGTATATAGATATAGGATTTTTTGAGAACTGCACTTTTCTGAATATTTTCCTGACATTATTCACTCTCAAAAACAGTAGTCATTAAAACTCAAAAATGTTTTTTTCGCTTTATATTGAAAAAATGAATTTTTGTTCAAGAATATTGATAACAAAGATAAATATATATTCTGTAACCTCCATAGTTAGTCTTAATTTTATAGGCAGTTCGCAGGGGGAGGGGGGAGGGGAATTGTAGCAGTCAATCCCCCCCCCCCCCCCCCCAACCTGTTTAGGGTTATAGTTGTTCTGATTGACAGTACTCATCCAGTACTAGTTGACAATATTGAGATTTCGAAAAATATATAGAAATCGACCACAATCTCTGCAAATAAATCTTAAAAAATTACTCTAAAACACTGCACTCTCAGTTCAACTACCATACCTACCCGGTCATGCACTCCCTTTCATTACTTGTTAATTGCAAATACAGGGTGTCCCACGAAACATGACAGTATGCAGGACGACTTGAATGTCGTCTTGATTTTTGATACCCGTATAAAATCAGGGGAGTGACTTAAATACCGCCCTAGTTTGATCTATTTTATGTTTTGTTTTATATAGGCTCCGTCTGGTTCTACGGTTATGAACGAGGTTGGAAAGATTCGACAAGGTTTAACAACAATCCTTACTTATGATTGGATATCCATCCCTCTAGTTTATACTCAGGTAAGCATTTAAAAAAAATATAGTTCAACCTTTAGATATTTAGTTTAAAAGAGTTTTATGTCGTCATTAATGTGAAAGTTGAATGTTTAGGTTGTAACCTTGGCAGTTTATTTCTATTTTGCTGGAGCTTTGTTTGGCTCCCAGTGGGTTGCACCTACGAGAGATGAGGTTAAATATTCAGTTTTTTGCAATTTATTTAAGAAAATATATTTATAATGTAAACATTTAACATGATACATTCCCTTAATTTAGATAATTTTTTTAACACACTAATTTAATATGAAAAGATTCAAACTCAGTTCATCCAGTAAAAATGAATAGAATTGATCAATGAATAATGAGTAGGATTGGTCCATGAAAGATAAATAGAATTGATCAATGAACAATGAGTAGGATTGGTCCATGAAAGATGAATAGAATTGATCAATGAATAATGAGTAGGATTGGTCCATGAAAGATAATTGACCAATGAATAATGAGTAGGATTGGTCCATGAAAGATGAAAAGAAGTGATCAATGAATAATGAGTAGGATTGGTCCGTGAAAGATGAATAGAATTGATCAATGAACAATGAGTAGGATTGGTCCATGAAAGATGAAAAGAAGTGATCAATGAATAATGAGTAGGATTGGTCCATGCAAGATGAATAGAATTGATCAATGAACAATGAGTAGGATTGGTCCATGAAAGATGAATAGGATTGATCAATGAACAATGAGTAGGATTGGTCCATGAAAGATGAATATAATTGACCAATGAATAATGAGTAGGATTGGTCCATGAAAGATGAAAAGAAGTGATCAATGAATAATGAGTAGGATTGGTCCATGAAAGATGAATAGAATTGACCAATGAACAATTAATAGAATTGATCATAAATTAGTTATTAGGACTATCAGTGAATAATGAATAGGATTTTCTCGAAAGAAATTGATTCTTTGTCACAAACTTAAATTTTCTAATTACTTTCTTTTTGCAACCATATAATCTTGTAAACCTTAGATATTTCAAACTTAGCCTAATGACAGAATTCATAGTTTAAAATATCTAAGGTCTACAACATTAGGTTCCAAAGATATAGGGATTAGAAAATCAGGGTTTGTGGCAAAATCTCAATTCCTTTGCCAAAAAAATAGGATTTCGCGAAAATGCCAGCGGAAAAGCAAACAGGGAATATATATCATAATATGCACATCAATTATAGGTTCAAAAACACAATTATACACTTTGCATAAAATATGAATATTTAATGAGTAAACCAAACGCGAATTTGATATTATTGTAAGATCATTTTTTCCGTAAAATGGGATGAATTTCAATCTTTTTATATGCGTCAAATCCCAAGCAAAATGGATTAGAGTTAAAGAATAGAGGTTTGACGCACGGCTATGTTACAATGGAAGCGTACTTAATGAGAACGCTCATTTCAGAGCGACTATAAGATACAAAGGGTAAATTGCGCGAAGTGCGCGAAGAATCCCTAGTTCCTAGAATTGTTTATATTCCTAGGTTCATAACATGATCTATAAAACATCAGGACGAATTGATCTTTTCTATCCATTCTTCCTGACTTTGCAGTTTGCTTTCTTTGTTGGATGGTTAAAGGTAATTTCTATTAATAAGTTCAACCTTTTTATAAATATTTTACATTTTCATCTTTTTTTATTAATTTCCGTCACATTTTTACTCTAGGTTACCGAGAAACTAATGTTTACTCTAGGCTACGAAGAAACTAATGTTTACTCTAGGTTACTGAGAAACTAATGTTTACTCTAGGCTACGAAGAAACTAATGTTTACTCTAGGTTACCGAGAAACTAATGTTTACTCTAGGCTCCTGAGGAACTAATGTTTACTCTAGGTTACCGAGAAACTAATGTTTACTCTAGGTAACTGAGAAACTAATGTTTACTCTAGGTAACTGAGAAACTAATGTTTACTCTAGGCTACGAAGAAACTAATGTTTACTCTAGGTTACCTAGAAACTAATGTTTACTCTAGGCTCCTGAGGAACTAATGTTTACTCTAGGTTACCGAGAAACTAATGTTTACTCTAGGCTACGAAGAAACAAATGTTTACTCTAGGTTACTGAGAAACTAATGTTTACTCTAGGTTACTGAGGAACTAATGTTTACTCTAGGTTACTGAGAAACTAATGTTTACTCTAGGTAACTGAGAAACTAATGTTTACTCTAGGTTACTGAGGAACTAATGTTTACTCTAGGTTGCTGAGACCCTTATTAATCCCTTCGGAGAGGATGATGATGATTTTGAGCTGAACAGGCTTCTTGATCGACACTTGCATGTAAGTATCTACATGTATACAGTTTAATTTGGTATCTGAATGTACATTGTACAATAATGAGACGGTGGCATATAGTAAAACGATAATTTAGCAATATTTTAAGTATTTGAGTGTTAAAAGTAAAACCAGTTGCTTAAAAACCGACTGATCAAGAGTTAAATGGGTTTCTGCAAACTGTAAGATTGTAGGGTTTAATGTTGATTTACTTGAGTCCGACTGTCGTCTTTCAATATTACAAACCTTACTGCAAAGCATGTTTTTTTTTAAAATTCTGGGTTGTCTTTATTTTCTTTTCCCCAAAAATAAGATCCATATCCGTCAAGTTTTTACTTGAGATTTAATATTTTCTCGAGGTTCTACAATTTTTCTCGTTTTTTTTCTCCGGGTTGGATATTTTCTTTAGGCTGGATATTTTCTCTAGGTTGGATATTTTCTTTAGGCTGGATATTTTCTTTAGGTTAGATATTTTCTCTAGGTTGGATATTTTCTCAAGGTTGGTTATTTTCTCCAGGTTGGATATTTTCTCTAGGTTTGCTATGGTGATCTATGGCTGATTTCATTGTCAAAAATATCCTTTTCTCCAGGTTGGGTTTTTGATTGTTGATCCGTCGAAGGAGAAGCCTGAACTATTGAAGGATAGTTATTGGGATGAACAGATCCCGGCTGAGATTCCATACACCTTGGCTTCAGTAAAGGATAGGAATACAGAGTTTCAGGGCTCAGCTGAGATTACTCTCAACTATGATTTAAGGTAAAAAATGGAATTGAATCATGATTTTCTAATAAATATATCTTTGCAACCCAATATGGTTGACCTTAGATATTTCACGCTATGACTTCTGTCAGATAAACTATTCTAACTTTGTAATATCAAATTTCTACACCATCAGGTTGCAAAAATATAGAAATTATAGAATTTATAAAATTCTAGTTTGTGGCAAAGAACCAGTTCATTTGTTTTAATTTTTAAACCCACTTCTTCTTCTACGAGAAAGAATTGGTCTACTTTTACAACAAAAAAATTTTAAAAAGCAATTACTTTTGACAATCTGTCTGTCTACTGTTGATTTGAGCTTTGATACTATATATTAGTTATTTAACACAATGCAAAATTGAATCCTCGATATGTTAGCTCAACTCTAACATTATGCAAAAATGTTTCTCTTATTTTTAAAAAATTCTGCTTATCGTTTTCAAAATTCGTTTTGGTTAATATCTTTGAAAAGAGTAAATAACATTTTCGGATTCATTTGAGACATATAAAATGTTTCCACGATGCATAATTTGTGAGTTTGAGTGCAAAGTCGACGTTCAAAACGTACATTTTCAGAATCGGTTTTTTTAAAATCATTAAATAAGGTCGACAAAAAATATTGTAAAAATTCTAAAGTAAACTAATTATATATTAGGAACATATTTCTCAAAAGAAATTTGTCAAGAAATCAATGTTAGAATTAATTATTTCGTTTATCTTTATATTGAATTTGTTATTATCTATGAGTTTGTTCGGAGATTTCTACAAATTCTTCAAATGTCAATAAAAATTACAGAAAATCTGCAGAAAATCTTTGTAAATAAGATTACTTATTTTCGATGATAAGAGTTAATTCTAATAAGTTCACTGTAGAATTTTGTTTACATTTTTTGTCGTCGTTACTTAATAAATAAAAAAAACGATTCTCAAAACGTACCACTCAAATTCATGATTTTGAACATCGACTTTGCACTCAAACTCAGTAATATACGCCGGAGAAACGTTTTATACGTTTCAAATAAATCCTAAAAAATGTGTCCACAAAACTACATATCCAGTTCAACCACCATACAATGCCAATCTCTCCCTTTAAAAACAGAGCTAAAATCTATACCCATCAGTAGTTGTATATACTTTGATATACCAGATTGTAATCAAAGTAAATTGTTTCCATTTTATAATCATTTTATTTATTTTATTATATTTTAGAATGTATCTCACGGACAAGTTTTATCAGGATGTTGGGGGACCAACACAACTTAGGTAGTTTTTCTATAAATCATTTTTAAATTGAAAATGGAATGGATAGAGCACGTTCGATCAATTTTTTTACGGAAAATCACAATCACAAATAAGATTATATTAAATATTCCAATTTGAGGAAGTATTCGAGAAAAGAAATTTATAAACAATATACAGAGTCCGAATTTAATGAATTGGGTCGCGTCTCAAATCCACCAAAAACCGGCTTAAATCTTGAAACATTATATACAATTTTAAGTGGAACCAACCATATTTGAGCCGAGGCTCAAATTCTTTAAAATCGGCTGCTGAATATACAGAATATAGAAATATTAAAAAATAGAAAAAATAAGATGAACGCATGGGTCGAGGTACGTTTACTTACATTCTCTGAACAGAATATAAATATAAAAATACTGATTTAAAGTTCATAATTAGTATTTGGTTGCCATTTAACTAAACCCATGCATAGAATTCCTACCTAAACATTTAAGATTTCCGAACCACTATGAAAAGTTTCTCCTTGTCTTCTTATTTCTTTTTGTCATGATATGATTTTTTTATTTGTAGAGAAACCCATTCCTATAAAAGTGCCTCGAACATTTTTAATTGCAATTCAATTAAAAATTATAAACTCGTTTGTGATATTTCTGAAGTAAAAAGAATAACAAAGACGACATTCATTCCACAATTTTCTGTTTTTTACTTCATGTATTTTCTTTAATAAAAAGTTGTTTTTTAGGAGACGAGCCAAATCTCGCGAAACTATTTACGAGAGTGTTAGAAATCTCAGATTCCCGAAATCAAGGAAGAAAATATAAAGATTTTTATTTAACTAGAAATTCAAGGCTCTTTGCGCCCTTCTTTCTAGCCTTAGAGGGCGCTTCGCGCCCATCTTCTAAATTAATTGTAAACATGTTCTCTTTGTGTACATCGTAAAACTAAACAAAAATAATTCGCGGATTTTTACAAAAAATTTCGCGGATTTTCAAAATTTTAAAAAATTTAATGACGATCGAATTTTGATAGAGACAAATATTTGAAATTTTGATGATTCTTAAACCTTCCCTGGGCTCCCTAGATGTCCCACAAAAAATTTGGGACAGAACGGTTCAGCCGTTTTGACGTTTATTGGATACAAACAAACAAACAGACAAACAAACAGACAGACAAACAAGCCAAATTTATATATAGATGAGAAAATTCAGAATTATGAAAAATTGATTGGAAAAAATCATTTCCTTCTGATATAAAATAGCAACCATCCGTGATTATATTATTTTAGGTTAGGTTAGGTTCAGATAGTTAGATACTTAAGAAAGGAATTGAGTCTTTGCCACAAATCCCATTTTCTATCCCTATATCTCTACAACCATATAATGTACATCTTTGATATTTCAAACTTAGATTTTTTGATTCATTAGAATTTATAGTTTGAAAGATATTGAAAGATAAAGATATTATGGAATCGAATTTGTGGCAAAGACTCAATTCCTTTGCAGATGTTTGATGGTTTATTTCGCGTCAGACGTCCCCTTTGGAATTCAAATAATTTAAATTCTGTCTTTGGACCGTTATTCAGTTATAATTCGTTGATTGTCAACATCTTTTAACGGATTTTAAATTAAAATTTTGAAGAAAATAAAGCAGTGAACCTAGGAAAGTAATTTTATGATTAAAATAATCCGATTTACGTAGGAGACATCTTCAAATCAAAATTTTTTTGCCGTGATAATTTCTCTTCTTTATATACTCTGTGTGTCCAGGAGATTATCTCAGATCTCTCATTTGTTTGCCAGGAAGAAGAGGCCCCAGAGATTTCAACGCTTCAGATCCAGAAAGAATTTTATGACAGCACAGCCAGAGCATTTCCCGTCCGCCGTGCTGGGTCAGGTTGACCCAAGGAGACGTGACTCCCTTGACCCCACCCTTCTCCTGGTTGACCCAAGGAGACGTAACTCTCTTGACCCCACCCTTCTCCTGGTTGACCCAAGGAGACGTGACTCTCTTGACCCCACTCTTCTCCTGGTTGACCCAAGGAGACGTGACTCTCTTGACCCCACCCTTCTCCTGGCCGACATGGAGTTTTTAGAGAACTATAATATTGTTTAGTTTCATTTTGATCAAAACCTGAAAAGGGGTTGTTCAATTGTTATACAAGGAATTTTAACAATCTCAGTCTCCGATACTATGCAAGATATAGAAAAGAAAACTCTGAAAAAAGAGATTTCAGACTTAAGTTATGACTTTAAAAGTCTAATGAACATGAGACACAGCACTTTTGAGTTTGTGCAAAACTCAATTCCTTTGGTATTAATTGTTGGTATAAGTATGTCATGTTTAATGCGCATGATTGCATTGCCTCCCCTTTTTCCTTCTCGGCCCTATCAACGTAACTTCAAAAAACCATCATTTAATGATTCACATCGGTGCCATTTAAACTTTTATCTAAGTATTATGATGGGGGGCAAAACAGTATGATTAATAATTCGAGACTTTTCTTGAAGATGTCTTATTCAGCTCTGAAAAGCATAAAATACATAAATGTTGGAGAGGCTTATATAAAGAACAGCAACAAAAATCTAAGATTATTTCCAAAAAAAGTGACTTGAAAACCTTGTCATCTAGAAAATATAAAATTTTACTTCAATATTAGTACTTTTGGAAATCCGCAAATGAAAACAGGAAAATCTGCAAAATACTTTTTTTATTTTAAAATGTCCGAAAAGATTTCATCAAAAACAGCTTCAAAAAGCTAAGATTAACCTTGTCATTACTTATTGAAATGTTAGTACTTTTGAATAGAGGTACTCAACACTCATTCTGTTGTTGACAATAACTTTAATGAATTACTTAGATTATAATATATAACTTTGTTTGTTTAGATTTACAACATGCATATTGAATAACTAAACTTAATAATACGTTTATTAAAAACTGGGTACTATGTAAATCATATTTGAAGAAAAATTAAGTATTCTTTATATATATTTCTAACGTCGAACTGAAAAAAAGTTGTAATTGGTAAACTTAAAGTAAAATATATGGTTTTATATTATGTAATACATTGATAACATAACATAAATTAATATTAATTGGATAGAGCATATTTTTCTAACATTTTGATGCAAATATTTATTTTCTGTTTCAAATAAAAAGTTAAATTTTCGGCCTTTTGAGACAAAAAACTTCACAGACTTTTATTGCGCTAAAAGTAGAAAAAAAAATTGAATTAAAGATAGAATTTCTTTGCTCTTTAAAAATGGCACAACTTAAAGGGACTGTAGACGTGATTGCAATTGACCCCCCCCCCTTTCAGAAAAGATTGGCACTGTCCGATTCACAATGGTAAACTATAAACCTCTATCTGAGCAACAATCTATCTAAAACTTGGTGAATTCTAACAATTTTTCTTTATTTTATACAAAAAAATAGGAATAATACCTTTGTACTTGATCAAACCAAAGGTTTAAAGGGTACTGGTGCAAATCAGACATGCCACTCTATAAACGTATGTTCACTTGAAATTAAGTCTACTGTCCCTTTTATAACAAAATATTCTTTTTATACAATGCTGTACGTTTCTCTCATTTCTATATCGGAGAGATTGAACCCTGAATCCTTGGACGGGACGGATATCAGCTCAGGGAGCTCAGGACGGTGTCGATTCTGCGCCGGGAGAGAAGGAGAAGAATTAAGAGCAGGAAGAGCAGGACGGAGAACAAGAGCAGGAAGAACTTGAAGGCGTCCTGGATCTGAGCTACGGGAGCTCTTCCTGGAGCTGGGTCTTTCCTTTTTCTTCCAGAGTAGGTTGGATAGGTTGGAGAGTTTACGGGGTTTGCTGGTGAAGTTTCTAGATCGTATACTCTCATAGATCGTTTCATTGGAGTTAACCCGCTTTCTAAACATTAAATAACCTCAGATATGATTCATCTTCAAGAGAGATCAGAATGAAGAGATTGGGTTTTTTCATAAATTGTATTTCACTTCCAATTTAAAAAAAAATTCTTTACTCTTCTTAATTGTTTTCTCATTAAAGTGTTAACAAATAATTCCGACCCTTCCCCTCTGGTGTCTCATTCCATTCAAATCAAACAAAAAATGTCGTTGTTTCGAAAAAGAACAAAAGGAGTTGATTAGGATGATATATAAGTTTCTACCTGAGGGGATTAGTAACAAAAAAGATTAGATTAGAACTATATATATATAAGTTTCTACCTGAGAGGATTAGGAACAGAAAGATCGGAGTACAATCTTTCACTCTGATCAACACTGAAAAAGTTTTTTGATCATATTAGTTAAAATATCCAGAGATAATGAAAGAAAAATCAATCAAAAAAGGCAAACAATAAAAAGAAAGAATTTTTTTGTGATTTAAAATACGATTAAAAATAAATACAAACTTGAGAGTAATCTCAGCTGAACCCTGAAACTCTACATCTCTCTCCCCTATTGAACCAACAGTGTAGAGCATCTCATTCGGGATTGTATCGTCCCAATATTTATCTTTGAGTAGATCCGGCTTTTCTGCAGTCGGATCACAGATCAGAAAACCAACCTTTACAGGGACTTGTCACATATTTGATATGCACGTTTGAAATTTAAATACATAAAAATAAAAAGTTGATTTTATTGCATAATCATAATTAAACAGTTTGTAAAATTAAATATATTTTAACCGTACCTGTAGATGTCTGTCAATAAGTCGGTTCAGTTCAAAATCATCATCATCTTCTCCGAAGGGGTTGATGAGGGTTTCTGCAACCTAGAGCAAGTACAAGGATTAATCATGATCTCAGCAGCTTGGAGTAAACAAAAGGATAAATCATGATCTCAGCAACCTGGAGTAAACACAAGGATTAATCATGATCTCAGTAACCTGGAGTAAACACAATGATTGAGCACGATCTGAGCAACCTAGAGTAAACACAATGATTGAGCACGATCTGAGTAACCTGGAGTAAACACAATGATTGAGCACGATCTGAGTAACCTGGAGTAAACACAATGATTGAGCACGATCTGAGTAACCTGGAGTAAACACAATGATTGAGCACGATCTTAGCAACCTAGAGTAAACACAATGATTAATCATGATCTCAGCAACCTGGAGTAACACAAGAATTGATCAACATGATCACTGCGCCTTGGAGTAAACACAAGGATTGATGAAGATTTTAGCAACCCGGAGAAAAACTAAGATAAACCAAGATCTCAGTAACCTGGAGTAAACAAAAGGATAGATCCTGATCTCAGTAACCTGGAGTAAGCACAAAGATTGATCTTGATCTCAGCAGCCTGGAGTAAACACTACAATTGATCTTTATATCAGTAACCTAGAGTAAACAAAAGGATAGATCTTGATCTCAGTAACCTGGAGTAAACACAAGGATTGATCTTGATCTCAGTAACCTGGAGTAAACACTAGGATTGATCAAGAACTCAGCATCATGGAGTAAACAAAAGGATTGATCTTGATCTCAGTAACCTGGAGTAAACACAAGGATTGATCTTGATCTCAGTAACCTGGAGTAAACACTAGGATTGATCTTGATCTCAGCAGCCTAGAGTAAACACCAGGATTGTTCAAGATCTCAGCAACTTAGAGTAAACACAAGGATTAATTATGATTTCAGTCACCTTGAGTAAACTGCACAAGGATTGATCATGACCTAAGCAACCTGGAGTAAACACAAGGATTAATCAAAGATTTCAGCAACCTGGAGTAAACACAAGAATTGATCAAGATGATCACAGCAACTTGGAATTAACAAAAGGATTTATCAAGATCTCAGTAACCTGAAGTAAGCACAAGGGTAAATCAAGATTTCATAAACCTAGGATAAACGTAAGGATTGTTCAAGATCTCAGTAACCTGGAGTAAACACCAGGATTGATCAAGATCTCAGAAACCTGGAGTAAACACAAGGATTGTTCAAGATCTCAGTAACCTAGAGTAAACACAGGGATTGTTCAAGATCTCAGTAACCTGGAGTAAACACCAGGATTGATCAAGATCTCAGCAACCTGGAGTAAACAACAGGATTGATCAAGATCTCAGAAACCTGGAGTAAAAACCAGGATTGATCAATATATCAGTAACCTGGAGTAAACACAAGGATTGATCAAAATCTCAGAAACCTGGAGTAAAAACCAGAATTGATCAAGATCTCAGGCTTTGTCAGAAATGGGTAAGTTTGTGTTTTCAAATGAATACCTGAAAAGGTAAAGGTAATGTAAAGGTAGAAAGAAAGGTTTCTACGTGAAGATCCTTGCATAATTAAAAATACAAAAGAAAGGTATAAACATCAAATTCCTTTACCTTCAACCATCCTATGAAGAAGGCGAACTGAAGACTCAGGAAGAATGGATAGAATAAATCCAAGCGTCCAGACGTTTTGTAAATCATAGTGCTGGCCTAAAATAATTTTAACTTTTTAATAATCTTCATCGAAAATTATTTCGTTCACGCTGAATTATCATACAGGGAGTCAAATAAAATAAAAGTAATAATTGGGCGTGTTCGTAAAAGGGTGTTCCAAGAAACATGGGAATTGAGTGACGATTAGAGATCGTATTTTTAGAAGTGATACCTCCTGAGTAAGATGTAGGATATTCGTCTGCTATAGTTTGTACATGAGGTTAACCTAAGACTTTGTTTTAATAAAGCTTAAGTTTACGTAGGTTGGGCTTAATTACTTATAAAATCTCTGGTCAGAGGAACACAATAGTAATATAGGACGCATTTTCCGTACTTGTTCATCCTATTTAAGTAAATATATCTATGCTCTATTTACAGTACTTATTTAACCTATGTAAGTTCATATATATATATATTCTCTATTTCTTTATTTACTACGTACTTGTCCTATCTATATCAGTTATATATATGCTCTATTTACTGTACTTGTCCAATCTATGTAAGTTCATATATTTATGCTCTTTTACTGTAACTGTACTTGTCCAATCCATATCAGTTATATGCTCTATTTATCGTACTTGTCCAATCTATGTAAGTGCATATATCTATGCTCTATTTACTGTACTATATCTATGTTAGTTCATATATCTTTTCTATATTTTCTGTACTTTTCCAATCTTTGTAAGTTCATATATCAATGCTCTATTAAGTGTGCTTGTTCATTCTATGTAAGTTTAAATAGCTATGCTCTATTTACTGTACATGTACAATCTATGTAAGTGCATATATATATGCTCTATTTACTGAACTTGTCCAATCTATGTAAGTACATATATTTATGCTCTACTTACTGAACTTGTCCAATCTATATCAGTTATATATATGTTCTATTTACTGTACTTGTACAATCTATATCAGTTATATATACGCTCTATTTACTGTACTTGTCCAATCTATGTAAGTTCAAATATATATGCTCTATTTATTGTACTATTTCTGTGTAAGTTCAAATTTGTACGTTCTATTTACTGTTCTTGTCCAACTTATGTAAGTTCATATATATGTGCTCTATTTACTGTACTATATTCCATTCTATGTAAGTTTATATATCTATGCTCTATTTACTGTACTATATATATGTAAGTTCATATATATATGCTCCATTCACTGTACTTTTCAAATCTATGTTAGTTCATATATCTATGCTCTATTTACTGCACTTGTCCAATCTATGTACGTTCATATATAAATGCTCCATTTACTGTACTTTTCAAATCTATGTAAGTTCATATATCTATGCTCTATTTACTGTACTTTTCAAATCTATGTAAGTTCATATATCTATGCTCTATTTACTGTACTTGTCCAATCTATGTAAGTTCATATATCTATGCTCTATTAACTGTACTTGTCCAATCTATGTAAGTGCATATATCTATGCTCTATTTACTGTACTATATCTATGTAAGTTCATAGATCTATGCTCTATTAACTGTACTTGTCCAATCTATGTAAGTTCATATATCTATGCTCTATTTACTGCACTTGTCCAATCTGTGTAAGTTCATGTATCTATGCTCTATTTACTGCACTTGTCTAATCTGTGTAAGTTCATATATCTATGCTCTATTTACTGTATTTGTCCAATCTATGTAAGTTTAAATATCTATGCTCTATTTACTTTACTATATCTATGTTAGTTCATATATCTATTCTCTATTTACTGTACTTTTCCAATCTTTGTAAGATCATATATCAATGCTCTAATAAGTGTGCTTGTTCATTCTATGTAAGTTTAAATAGCTATGCTCTATTTACTGTACATGTACAATCTATGTAAGTTGATATATCTGCTCAAACCTCATCAGTCGCAGGTGAAACCCATTGAGATCCGAAGAGGGCCCCGATAAAGTAAAAGTAGACCGCCAGTGTTACAACCTGAATTTTAACTATGATTATTAACAACGATCTTTTTTTTAATAATTCATAATTCTTGGAAAATAGATGATTTTAAGGATTTTTAAATTCACAGAAAAGCTCATTGAGCTGAATCATTTTTTGTCCGAATTAAAGAATGAAAACAGAATATTTCTTCAAAATATAAGATTTAAAATTCTCATTAAACGTTACAATGAAACATTAAAATTTTAATAAAAGAGTTTCTTACGAATAAAAGAGGGTTTTCCACCATTTCAAAGTATATATTTGTGAAAAGTGTACATAATACCTGAGTGTACACTAGGGGTACAGATATCCAATCATATGTCAGAATTATAGTACAGTGTACAGTGTACATAATACCTAAGTGTACATCAGAAGTACAGATATCCAAATAAATGTCTGAATTGTAGTACAGTGTACAGTGTACATAATACCCGAGTGTACACCAGGGGTAAAGATATCCAATCATATGTCAGAATTAAAGTACAGTGTACAGTGTAAATAATACCTGAGTGTACACCAGGGGTACAGATATCCAATCATATGTCAGAATTGTAGTTAGTTTTTGGCGGATTTTCCCAATCTCGTCCATCACTGTTGCACCATTAGGAGCCTAGAATACAATATTTAGTATTTTTATTGATCATTAAATAGAGAATCTAAGAAACCCCTTGCCTCCCAAATATTTTAAACCCCCTGATTTTTTTTTCCAACTTTGTTCTCTCCGACAAAGTTTTGAGCTAAAACTAATAAAATGAATTAAAGTTTAGGAACCAGTTAGAAGTCGGTCAATCGAGTATAATTCCTGAGAACTTAAAGAAACTGATTATTCGCCTAACATACTAATTTTCTCATCCTTAAATCTTTGATACCAGATGGTGTCAACCTTTAATATAAAAAACTTTGATCTTGCAGAGTTCATAATTTGAAATCAACATCAAGTTGGAAAGAAAGAAGGATTGGGAAATTAAAGTTTGATACGAAAATTTAGTTCTGTTTAACCCTATTCCTGCTGGGGGGGGGGGTCAATTTGACCCCCCCTGTAGTTTTTTTACATAACTCAAAAAGTATTGGTCTGAGGCTGTTGAAATTTTCTGACTTTTCTTACATACCCAAAGCCCTCCCTTTAGGCCTAAAACCGGGCTTTATTACTAAGTGCCTGAGTCCTCAGGCACACTGCCTGAATGACTGCTTTTGCCTGTAACAAACTAAATCTTTGTTTTGACCCACTTTCACTTATCAGATTTTGATAAAATTTAGCTTTTTGGAAAGCCTATGACATAAGGAAACGGATTGCACAAGTTTTGCGAAAAAAAAATTGCAAATTTTTTGCAAACAACCTGTCAAAGGAAATTTGCACATTTTTAGTTTTTCTTGATTAAAAATCAGGTTATTTAAAATTTTTCAAAAACTTTTGCATATTTGAAATGGCATGGTCAAGGGCTTTTCAAAAATGTATAATTTGTCATTTTTTGGACAAATTTTTTTTGCAAACATTCTCACTATAAAACTGGATTTTGCGATAAAAATTCAATTTTCGCAAATTTGCAAATTTTTTTGCAGATTCTAAAAGTAGAGCACAAGAGCTTTCTAATGATGTATCATTTGTCATATTTGGACATAAAAATTGACCCCCCCCCAGCGTATCCTGGTTTTCAAGTACCCCAGCATGGATAGGGTTAATCTTATATTAAATCATATTATATAGAACAATTATATACAATGAGACCCATATAACAACATTAAATAAATATAGGATTGCTTAAACATCGTCTTCCTATTCCACAGTTGTATTGGGTCCCACTGTATAACAATTAAACTTTTCATTATTGATGCTTCTTTGTTAAGGGATTAATAAATTTACTTCAATATTTCCATTTTCTACTCCCTCTCCGATCATCTTAGCACACCAAACCAGAGGAAGGAACCATTTGTTGGCAACTACCTTCTCATCCAGTTTCTGGAACTACCGAGGTGTTATCATAAAGCTTAGATATCTAAATACTCATGAGAAATACTTTTTTTGAGAAAATATTTTAGTTTCTGTAAGTCAACCTTAGACCAAAATCGAGCAGACGTACGGTTGGATTTCATGGTTTTACTCAATAGTATCCGACCTTAACTGGGCTGGGCCGCCTTTGTCAGGCACTGATCAAGAATATGGTAGAGCCTAAGTGACATCACTAAGTTAATTTACCAAAATAAGAACAGGAAAAAGAGTTTTTGTCAACAACTCTGTTTTTAAAATCCTTATATCTTTGCAACCCGATGCATTGCAGACCTTGAATATTTCAAATTTTGAAATATATCAATAGTCTAAGCTTGAAGTATCGAAGGTTTGCACCATCAGGTTGCAAAGTTGATGATATAAATTGAGTTTGTGGCAAAAACTCAGTACCAAAGATGTTAATGATTGCACCTCGTATTATTTTTTTCTCATCAAAATGAAGATTATAATTACTTGAATTCATCAGGACGCATTATTCCTGCATGAACCAGATGCTCTAGGGTTGGGAACCTTTTCTTCAGGCGAAAACTCACAGTCCTGGGTAATAAAGGGTGTACACTGTAAAAATCAGATTTGGCAGATTGTGATTAAAATCAAAATTAAAATTTTTAAAGCAAATTTTATTTAATACGCAAACTTATTTGCATTAACCATCCTTCCCTATGTTTTTTTAATGAAATTTCCAAAAACTTTCAGAAATCAGAATAATATAAATGATCCTCTTTTTTTATACTCAAGAGACTATATGTAAATTATGCCGGTGTTTAAAACTTATCTGATACCGGAGTATAATACAGTATGCTAGAGTAACATATCAGATACCTGAGTATAATACAGTATGCTAGAGTAACATATCTGATACCTGAGTGCAATACAGTATGCTAGAGTAACATATCAGATACCTGAGTATAATACAGTATGCTAGAGTAACATATCTGGTACCTGAGTGCAACAGTATGCTAGAGTAATATATCTTAATACCTGAATGCAATACAGCATGCTAGAGTAACATATCTGGTACCTGAGTGCAATACAGTATGCTAGAGTAACATATCTGATAAGATTTCTTCTTATCATTCGACCCTTGTCATCATTTTCAACCTTGAATGCTCCCACCAGCATAATAGCAAAAGAATCTATAAAGATCAAAATCATTATTTTCGTTTTAGCATTATAATAAGTTTTGCGGTTGAATGTTTAGCGAAAACCTGGAAAACTTGTCTTTTAGATGTTTTGTTTAAAGGCATTTTCAAAATCCGAATGGATCATTTTTTACCTAAAGTATTGCTTAAAGGGACTGTCAACGTAATTTTCGGAGTAAACATGCACCATTTACGATAAAATTAAAGATATTCATTTTTTTTATCTAAAAATTTATAATTTTGTGGTTTCTCTAGAAAAACTACTTGTGGATTTCCTGCTACAGAAAGAATGGCTAGGATCTTGTCAGAATTAAACACTTTTCAAGCTTGAAAAACGACTATATCTTCCACATTGATCGGATAGATGATAAAAGGGTTATGGAGTTTCACTTGAAAGGACATCGACAGTGACATTTTCTTTTGCCTCGCAAAATTATTTTCATTTCGTAGTTCTTTCAAAAATATATTTTATGGATTATCTGGTATTTTTTCTCAGAAAGGAAATTATTAAAATCTTTTTAAATGAAAGATTTCGTGAATTTGTATACCTGGCCAGGGAAGCGTATTGTACTGCAACCACCATCGTTTTAAAACCAAACTAAAATATTATTTTTAAAGGCCTTTCGAAATTATTTGTGCTTAGAGGCGCCCGCCGCTAGTTAAAAAAGTGTAAAAACACATGACCGCATGATATCAATATATACAATAATCAAAAATATAAAATAATTAGCAACAATCGACAGCTTTTCAAGATGTTTTTGTGAGTGTTATATTTTTCCAGTTATGGAATATTTTAGAATTATCTTTATTAATTTACAAAAGTTTTTATATATTTCATGCTATTTATTAAAATGAATATTGACAAAATTATTTAAATAATTTTCCTGCATTATATTACATTTGAAAAATAGGACAATAGGAGAAGAAAGAAAATAAAAATGTTTTTAAAATTGTGATAATCAAAAAAATTTATTTTTATTTTTACCTGACATAGAATCCTAGAACGAATGTGAGAGGGATTGTCTTCAGACTGTGGTTTACATACATACGGAAGGACTCAAACAATTCTCTAAAAGGTGGAATCAGACTTTAGAGACGTTTTACGGGATTTCTTGTCAATTCTCTTACAGTTTTAGGCTGTCATTATAGTTTAATCTTTAGCTGGTAACCCTGTACGTATTTAAATATGAGCTGCAACTGCAATTTAAAACTAGTTCTTTTTTAATCATGAATTACACTTCGAATATATTTTTTTACACCTCGAAATCAAATACATATTTATTATAAAATCATGCAGAGGTCAGAACTTGTGTGAATCTAGGGATCAAACATTGATCTCCATTTAATGCAGACCTAAGGATTAATATGATTCCTCCTCCATATATCGTTAAGGGATTATACCCCGCAGGGAGAACTTTAATTTACCTGCGGCTTCTCCACCGTTCGCAGCTGGGCAGGGTTTGGTCACAATCTTCACTGTAACGGATAAGAACAGTTCTATACAAATATTCTATTCATATACAAACATTTTTTAAACATTTTTCACGAAAAAACTATGTTTTTGAATTCAGAACAAATAATCTATATATAAATTTGGCTTGTTTGTCTGTCTGTTTGTTTGTCTGTTTGTTTGTTTGTATCCAATAAACGTCAAAACGGCTGAACCGATCGGGCCCAAATTTTTTGTGGGACATCTAGGGAGCCCAGGGAAGGTTTATGAATCATCAAAATTTCAAATATTTGTCTCTATCAAAATTCGATCGTCATTAAATTTTTTAAAATTTTGAAAATCCGCGAAATTTTTTGTAAAAATCCGCGAATTATTTTTGTTTAGTTTTACGATGTACACAAAGAGAACATGTTTACAATTAATTTAGAAGATGGGCGCGAAGCGCCCTCTAAGGCTAGAAAGAAGGGCGCGAAGCGCCTTGAATTTCTAGTTTTATTAAATTCTATAGAAAATTGTTAAAGGAAAAGACAGGATTGGGAATTGTTTTTTTTTATTTATGGAAATTTGACTTTTAAAGAAACTGTAAGCATAATTTCAAGTGACCCACCATGCAAAAATTATAAAACCTGATTTACAACAGTCTGCAATTTACCCTTGAAGTGGAATATAACGTCATTTTTCTGACTCTTCTTTGTTGCTCAAAAGCTAGAAATACGAAAGTCACTTTTGCAGAGAATCCAAAAATGAAAATGAAAAAAAAACAAATCCATACTTGATCAGACAATCAAGGCTTTATGGGTATAATTGTAAATCGTGTATTTCCATCTATGCATGTAGGGTTACTTAGCATTACAGTCCCTTAAAGAGACTTCACACGTGTTCGCGATGCTTTAAATATGTTTTAAAATTGTATTCTCTCACTTCTACATTGTACAAAGTGTTTACTCGACGAAGGAAGCTAATTAAAACAATTTTACCAATCTTATGTCGGCTAGTCAAAATGTTACACAGAATAATAAAAACAACCTATTAGAAATTTTTTTTAAAATTTTTATGTTCTTTGTAGCCTCTGAAAATAAAAAAATAAACATTTAATGTTGAAAAACCATGCCAATATACATACTACACAGTGAACTAGATACAAGGAGAAAGTCAAAATTATGCGACATTATTGGTGCAACTTTGAAACCTCGTAGCTCCTCTAGTTTTGATTTTTCCAACAAGTATAATTTGGTTAGATTTTTTTAAAATTTTTTAAAATTCAAAAGCTTTTTTGTTCTTCTCAAAAGCTCTTGAATAAGTTAAGATGATTAAAAACGTAGAAGATTTCAATCTTGTATGCAATTATACTTAATTGTAAAATAGTGAATATGAATCCCTGTATGTGAGGTTGATGATCATGTACATGACGGTGTAGGCCAGCAGTTCCTTGAACACAAGCTTGTACACAGATCCACGCCATCGGAGCAAGATCTAGGAAACAGTTTAGAGATTAGGGGGCCGGTTAGGAACTACCCTAACAGTAATTCTTAATTTAATTCTTTTTTATGCTTTAGTATAAAATAACGTATTTACTAGTTTTGAAAATCTTAATCTTAATAAATCAAAGCTAAAAGGCTAAGATTTTTTGTAGGGCCTCGCATGTCTCCAGGGAAGGTATGTATGGTTGGTTGAAACAGGCTTTTTAGAAAATCCGCAAATTACAATTTACGAAAGGTAAGACTATTACTTGAAAGAGAGGCCTGTAGAGTAGATCTAGTATATATGTATATTCTGAGATCTGAGCTTGGAACTTTTGAATGGTGGATATCGGGATTAATGCTTGATCCACTCTTTTTCTTAATCTCCAGATTAAATAATGCTTGTTCTGCTCTTGTTTTTAATCTCCAGATTAATCAACTGTCGGGATTAAGGACATCCCATTCTAAAGTTCTCAGCTGTGAATACCGGAAGGGTGGATTGGTTTGTTCTCTCACGGTATATTTTTACTAGAATTCATTCCAATATATTTTATATTTTTACCAGAATTCATTCCAATGTATTCTATATTTTTACTAGAATTCATTTCAATATATTCTATATTTTTTAACTAGAATTCATTTCAATATATTTTATATTTTTAACTAGAATTCATTACAATATATTCTATATTTTTGATAGAATTCATTCTAATATATTATTTATTTTTTATAAGGATTCATTCCAATGTATTCTATTTACATATCTTTATTGTACTAATGTTTTATTAATATCTGTTATAATTATTACTGCAGAAAAATATATGATTTAATATTATTTGATCCTCCCCCTCCCCTCAAATACATTATAGTGAACAGGATCGATGACCTATTCTGGCTGAGGGGGGGGGGCCTCCCCTGACGTTTTTTGGAGATAACTTAAAAAGTATTGGTCTGAGGCTGTTCAAATTTTTTGACTTTTCTAATTAAGGCACAAAGCGGGGCTTTTATACAAACTGACTATTAGTCCTCAGGCATACTGCCTGAATGCATTATTTTACCATTACCCGACTAAATCTTTGTCGTCATTGGATTTTAACTTTTTATAGCTTTTTGGGAAAGCCTTGAACAAAAGGAAGCAGATTGCACAATTTTTGCCCAAGGGCTTTCCAAAAGTGTATCAAATGTTATAGATTTGTATCACAATGAGGAAATAGCCCTCCAGACTATTTTGGGTAAAAAAGACGTCAGCGGGAATAGGGTTAAAATACTTGGAGTCGTCCAAAAAAAAAGTTATGAAAGAAAAACTTAAGATTAGAGAATATTTATGGAGATTGGTGGGTCTAATAATAATAATAATCATAATAATTAACAATAATAAAAATAATAATAATAATAATAATAATAACTTAACTACCTTAGAAAAGCATCCGAATGCGCTTGCGTTCGCCACATCACCAGTATAAGATACTGTCATTTTATAAACATTATTCCCTGAAATAATTATAAAAATTTTACAAGCTCAATTTTTTATTTGAAGCTGGTCAATTAATTAGTTTGAACTGCTCCTTTTTTATTTGAAGCTGGTCAATTAATTAGTTTGAACTGCTCCTTTTTTATTTGAAGCTGCTAAATTTTTATTTAAAGGTGCTAAACATTTATTTAAAGCTGCTCATTTTTTATTGGAAGCTGCAAATTTTTATTTGGAACAGCTTACTTTTTATTTAAAGCTGCAAAATTTTTATTTGAAGCTGCTAAATTTTTATTTTAAGCTGCAAATTTTTTTATTTGAAGCTGCTCACTCTTTATTTGCATAACATTTTATAAAATCAAGATACACAGTTTTTCCCTTGTCTGCAGCAAAGGGCGAGTACAAGGGTTCAAGGGAGCAGTTCCCCATCCAAATTCTCACAACTGAAAGAGGGGTTTAAATCTAAGGAATTGAGTCTTTGCCATAAGTCTGATTTTCTAATCATATATCTTTGCAGCTGAATATCGTAGGTATTTAAAAAATTCTGTAAGATCAAACAATGTAATTTTGAAGCATAAAAGGTTCACACCATCGGTTAGAAAATTTGAGTTTTTGACCCAATTTCTTTATTTCAACTATAATATTCCAAAACCAAAAGACAAAATTTCTGCCCTCTATGAAACCTCTACAGAAGAGTAGCAATAGAGAAAATTTTGCGTTTCGCTCAAATGTCATTGCCTCACCTCTGTATATTTCTTAATCTGTGATCTGTATACACCATCTTAAGTTCCCCTAATATGTGGTTAAGCGATGACGAAAAAACCATTAAAACAAAACCAGTTTTAATTAAACCGTTTACACAAGCAGACAGTTTTTATCATAAACAAACATAAAACAGGATGTTAGCAAAAGATTTGACCAAAACTAAGTTTTTAATTTGAACAATACAGTTACTCACAAACTATTATGATGATATGTCAAATGGTTTGACAATGCGGAAATGGCAAGTTTAGAGCTGCTCGAAACTGTGAATCTTTATGTTTACTTTGCTTGTCTATCTGTGTCTGACCGTTTGTTTGTTTTTAATAAACGGCCCCAGTTGCCAAACGCCCCCCACCCCCCGGCCCCACAGCCTATTTATAAAGTTAAGTCTTATTTTTTATGGGTAACCTAGTACTTATAAAATCTGACATTTTACCAGATTTTCCAGTGATCAAAATATTAGAGGAGCTGAGTTCTTAACACAAATACAAACTTTCCAATTCCTAAATCTTGGCAACCTGATAGTGTTAAACGTTGATATTTCTAACTTAAAATATGAAATGTTTATGAAAACGGAATGCACAGATTTATGAATTAAAAAATCAGAGTTTTTGACTTTTCAACACATATTGTATTTGTGGAATTAACTAACTACTTTAGTACTCATTTGTACAATTGACATTAATACTTTGAATACTTATAATCCACCCTCAACTGAGCTTTCGGTGCATTCAGCAGTAGTTTTATATATATATATATATATAAATATATATAAATATAGACATATAAATATATATCAGTATATTGGATATACAAGAGTACAAGGGGATGGGGAGGGATAGATGGGGAAATATCAGGATTCAGGATATGATGAGAACACAAACCGTTTGATTATAAACCAGTTCTTCTCGTGTGTATATTTGACAACCAGGAGCAACTTGAGAATAGATTTAATCTCAACTCTATAGAGGATTAATGTATCCTGATCTAATCTTACAAAGTTGTTTAGACTTTTGAGCGCTCGCGTGTGAAGTAGAAATTTTTATGAGTTAGGACGGAGAGGGCTGATCGTTCAAGATAATGTTTACGATGCCACGTTGGATAAATTGAATTTTTTGATTCGCCTATATATCAATTTATCATCACACAGATGCGTCAAATATAATTATAATTTCATTTTTCGAGAACGCTCCCTTTTATTCAAAGTTTATCTATAGATATTACTGTAATTATCATTATTAAAATATTTAAGTTGTCTTGTAAGTTCCAATTTTGAGATTATGGAGCTTAAGATGTGGAACTAAGGAAGCTAAAATTATTATATTAACCACAGAATAGAGAATATTTAAATAAATATTAATATTAATGTATATCTTTGGTATTAATCCTAAACACAGGCCTAGGGTCTAGGGTTAAAAGTGAATCTGTTTTACGGAATAGGTTGGTTCAAAAGAGAACTATGTAGTTGGATAATACAGACTAATCGAGTCCTTTACTTTTAAACCAACAAATAAACTTTAGTGTAATATTATACCTTAAAATAAATACGAGTTAGAATTTTTAGATTTGAAATGCGTTTTAAATACTTTCTTTTAAATATATATATAAATAGATATAAAACACTTATTTTATTAACTTTAGGATTATCATCAAACTTTTAAATATATATATAAAAAGATATAAAAACACTTATTTTATTAACTTTAGGATTATCATCAAACTCTTTAAGTTCCTTATCAGAACCATGTGGATTATAACATCAAACTATGAACTTATTTTTCACTTTTTTGCCTAGATTTCAACATCAGATCTACAAATGATTAGTTTAAATATGAATAGTTTAAATAACTAGTCGAAAGTCGGGATAGGTTTAGCTCTATTTGTGTGTGGTTATAATTAATTAGTTTGAACTGCTCCTTTTTTATTTGATTATTTAAAGCATGTGTGTCATACTTTAATCTGGAAATTTAAAATGCCCATTGTTTCAAGTCTTTGACCCGAAGAAATGAATAAAGAAATAAAACGCGTAAATCTAAACATTTTTCCACGTTTTTATCAGGGTAAAGAGCTTTTAAAAAGTTTTAAATAAGGAAACTGATAACTCGTCTAAAACTTAAATTTGAAAATATCTATACTTTTTTAACCTGATGGTGTAAACCTTTATTACAACAAATTTTATTAGATCTAGCAGAATTTATAGTTTGACAGTTAAAAGCTCTACGACATTGATTGCAAATATACATAAAGGGATTAAAAACTAGAATTTGAGGCAAGTAATATAAAGGGGTCAAGCTCTTAAGCAAAAATCGATGAGAAATTTGCCAATTATACGTCTTAAAAACCAAAGCTAACCGCAAGCGTTTTCTAGTGCTTAAATGTGTATGTAAAGGGCTACAAAAAAGCATAATTTAGTTAGAGCGGTAAAATTAAAGCCCAAGGCGATGCGATACTTCAAAGTCGACCCTGTTTTAAAAATTGATGAGACTTTTTAAGCAGACTGAATCTATGTGAGTAATCTTATCTACGCAAAAATCAGGAAGAAATCGTCACACTTCTATTTTAAAAAATTGTTCAAATCTGTTAATTTCCTTTTTTTGTCTTCGCTGAGTAAATCCCAATTATCAATTTTCATAGAAAATAACAAAGGTGTCTGTATTATTTTTGCTCAGAAGAATGTTTAAAAATTTAAAGGTTTGAAGGTTTAAATGTTTAAAGGTTTAAAGGTTTAAAGGTTTAAAGGTTTAAATGGTACTATATTGTGAATCTGGCATGCAACTCTTTTCATCAAAAGTTCAGTTGAGTTATAATTTAAAAAAGTAATTCTAAGAGAGAACAACTTTAATATTTAATTTTGTAAATTAATTTCGTGTTAAAAATACAACTTTAAGAATATGAGTAAAGTATGAGTAATTGTCTTGGTTTATTTACCGATTAAGATAAAGAATAGTTTATGGCTCCGGGTGCATGAAATAGTAAAGAGCATGGTGTGCACATATTGACCAACCCTGATACTCCGGAAACAACACAATCCTTCCTGGTTCCTGATCAAGGTTTAACTTTAAACACAAGATAAAACTAATCATGATTATCTAAGCTTAACAAGAATTTATTCAAATTGTTTTGGTTCAACTGCTTCCCTCTCTCTTTTTATCTATAACTCTGGTTTTCCTTTTCTATTTCCTTTCAAACACCTTCCTCTATCTTTCCTTCCTTCGTCATCCCCTCTTCTTTTCTCCTTTTCCATTCTTTCTTTTTCCCTTGTCCGTCCTTTCTCTTCCCTCTCTTCCAGACCTCCTCTTCTTAATCCTCTTCCATTTCTAATTCACTACGCAAGCTTTTAATTATCTATTTTCATTTCTCTATCTTCCCTATTTGCTATTTACTCCCCTTCTATATTTTTCCTATTTGCTATTTACTCCCTTTCTCTATCTTTCCTATTTTCTATTTACTCCCCTTATTTATCTTTCCTATTTGCTATTTACTCCCCTTCTCTATCTTTCCTATTTGCTATTTACTCCCCTTCTCTATCTTTCCTATTTGCTATTTACTCCCCTTATCTATCTTTCCTATTTTCTATTTACTCCCCTTCTCTATCCTTCCTATTTGCTCTTTACTCCCCTTATCTATCTTTCCTATTTGCTATTTACTCCCCCTCTCTATCTTTCCTATTTGATATTTACTCCCCTTATCTATCTTTCCTATTTGCTATTTACTCCCCTTCTCTATCTTTCCCATTTGCTATTTACTCCCCTTCTCTATCTTTCCCATTTGCCATTTACTCCCCTTTTCTATCTTTCCTATTTGCTATTTACTCCCCTTATCTGTCTTTTCTATTTGCTATTTTCTCCCCTTCTCTATCTTTCCTATTTGCTATTTTCTCCCCTTCTCTATCTTCCATAATTGCTATTTACTTCCCTTCTCTATATTTTTTATTATTTGATATTTACTCCCTTTCTCTATTATTCCTATTTGCTATTTTCTCCCCTTCTCTATCTTTCCTATTTGATATTTTCTCCCCTTCTCTATCTTTCTTATTTCCCTCTCTATCCTTACCCTTAGTCTTCACCATTCCCTCCCCTTTCATTCACCATTCCTCGCGTTCTTCCTTTCCTTCCCTCTCCCCTCCTCTATCTTTACTTTTTCCTTCTCTATCCTTATACTTTAGTCTTCATCATTCCCTCACCTACCATTCACCATTCCTCGCATGCTTCCTGTCCTTCCCTCTCCCCTCCTAAATCCTTCCTTTTTCCTTCTCTATCCACAACCTATGT